CACAGGGAGATGGCTCAGAGGGCAGGAATGCATAGGAAAGAGGGACACAGGGAAAAGGTAACCATAGGGAGAAAGTGGGAAGACAACTGTTGCATTGTGGGGATTGTAAGCAATGTTGTGAAACAAAATATGTATGAACTGTTGTGTGGAAGGGACCTCTAGTGGCATAGTGCCTAAGGCATGCGACTGCTAACCAGGAAGCTGGCAGTTCAAACCCACCAGTCACTCCTCAGAAGGAAGACTGGGCAATCTACTTCCACAGAGATACTGCCTCGGAAATCTAAGGAGGGGTTGCTATGAGTTGGAAATGACTCGATGGCATTGAGTTTGGCTTTTGGTTTTTTGGCTTTGTGGAAAACGAATTTGCTCTGTAAACTTTCACTCAAATCACAATTTAAAAAAAAATGAGTGTTAAGAAAAAGAAAGAAAGAATGATGTCCTCAAAACTCTGGCAGGAAAGGGTTTCAACCTGGAGCTGTTTTCTCAGCCGCCTGGCATCCCATCGTACAGGGAAAGTAAAGGTACTTTCTGACACTCGAGCACGCAGAAAAGTAACAACCACAAACCATCCTCATGTTTCACTGGAGCAGGAATAAAAAAGCTCATTAAATATTTCCAAACAGGAGAGAGAATCTGGATACAGCAAATAGTGGGAAACCAGTAATCAGTAAGATCCTGAAATCTAGAGGATCATGATTGTTCGATGGGGAAAAGCAGGGACAGCACGGAACTAACATCCCAGCTGGTCTTGACGTGGAAGTGGAAGGGAGGAGGTGCACAGGGAGCACACACCCCGAGCAGCTCTCAACGTTTCCAGGAAGATCCACTTCAGAGCGTCTCCAACTCGGAGAGGTAGCCATCAGAGGAAAGCAACAATGAGAAGGCCCAACAAACTGAGACTGAAAGTCAAACACAGGCAAAATTCCAACCCATCAGTGTCCTGCCTGCAGATGGGTGAAACCACTCCAAAAAGATACAGACTGTCAGGCTGAGGTAAAGACACAACTATGAAATAAATCATCATGAAAGGGCAAAATAAAGACATCAATAAGTAAAGAAGCTAAAGCTTCCAACATGATAAAACATTAATCCGTGCAGGTACCACTCAGGAACACATAGATCTAACAACATGATCTTGAGCAACATACAAGAAAAAAAGACAAGTCCAGAATCACAGTGAGAGACCCACGTTAGTTCTCAGACACGGATGGAGCAAATGCATAGATGTACTGCCTGTACCAAGTAAGGGAGGTGGCCACGCAGGGTGACTGAGAACAAGGCACTCAATCAGCGAAGAAGATACATTGTCTTCAAACAACAATGAAGCATTCATCAAACCTGACTGTCTGTCAGGTCCACAGCGAAGTCCTAAGAGATTTCAAAAGGCAGGAATCTTTGACAAGGCCGGATTATCAAGGCTGAATGCAATGAAGTTAAAAATAATGTCTAAAATTGAGCTCTCCTGCCCCCATCTATCCACTTGAAAAACCATCAAGACCCTTTTATTGATGCTTGGGATAAAGAAGGGCTTAGAGTGGAGCAACCCACCATCCAGAATGAGCCAAACAGGAGCGTCAGGATGTGGACCTCAGTGTGACCAGTGACGGCTCAAGACGCACAGCCCTGGCTCAGCGTTACCGAGACTGAACGGAAACTAGGCATCGACCTCCAGAAGCCAGGAGAGGCACAACTCAAAACCAGAGAGAGTAAGAGCAGTGAGAATGACACAAAATCAAGCAACGCACACTTCACCAGGAACATGCAAGGCTGACAGTTCTCAGAGCACTGTGGTCCTCACAATGAATTACCAAACTCAGTGCAGCAGTCAAGTGCTGTGGGGGAGAATGAGAAGAACCAGGGGGCAGGAACGACAAGAGGAGCTTAACATTTTAAGAGAGCTGTGATGTGTCCTTGCTTTGTAAGGCCTATCTTGTCACAGTCTTGTGGTGCCCACCAAGTGACTGGATGGGGCTATGCAAATGAGGTGCTTCTGGCCCACCAAGAGGATTGGGGAGCTTGCTGATAATGTAAATAAGGTACACCCGACCTTGTGGGGTAAAACCAAAACCAAACCCAAACTCACTGCCAGCAAGTCGACTTCAACTCACAGCAACCCCCACTGGGTTTCCAAGGCTGTAAATCTTTATGGAAGTAGAGTGCCCTGTCTTCCTTCCACGGAGCAGCTGGTGGGTCTGAACTGCTGACGCTCTAGTTAGCAACCTAATGCCTTATCCACTACACCACCAGGGCTGCTTACCTTGTGGGGTGCAAATAAGTTGTATGAGAGCAATGAAAAGATTGGTCAGTTTTGCCATCACTGTAGGCTGAAAATGAGCCACCCCAGCGCCGTCCCAGGGATAACCTCACCACCAGCAAGAGGAGGAGATGGCAGTGGAATGCAAGCTCTGGACCCAGGGTCTATGCACCAGGGACCTCCTTGACCCATGAGGAAGAGCTTCAACATTGGGGACAGTGAGAAGCCCTGGCACAGACATGGTGGTGGCAGCACTAGGAGTCAGCGTGAGATGAAGTCTGGCCACTCTCAATTCCAAGGAACATTCTGGCTGCACTTCTTCCAGGAGAGATTTGTTCATTCTTCTTGCAGTCCGTAATACTGTCAGTACTCTTTGTCAACATCACAATTTTAAAGGCATCAACTCGTCTTCAGTCTTCCTTATTCGTTGTCCAGCTTTCATGTGCACAGGAGGCGAGTGAAAATATCTTAACTTGGGTCAGGCAAACCTAAATCTTCAAAGTGACATCTGTGCTCTAACACTTCAAGGAGGTCTTTTGCAGCAGATCTGCCCTGGGCAATATGACGTCTGATTTCTTGACTGCTGCTTCCACGGGCATTGATTGTGGATCTCGGTAAAACAAAATCCCTGACAACTTCAATCTTCTCTCCATTGATCATGATGATGTTTACTGGTCCAGTTGTGAGGATTTGTTTGATGTTGAGGTGTAACCTGTTGCTTCCCTAATAAATTTTTTAATTGTGAGTATGGTCTATGAGCTACATGACTATCTCAACAAATTATCCCATTCAGCACAGTAGCAGAGAGAGCCATGGGAGGGATGGCTGGTGTGAGAATGGGTGAGAAGGTTGGAGGGTGGTAGCCGTCTGAGGCCCGCCTTATAGGAACCAGCCTGGGGCTGCTGATGGTGATTCTCTCTCCCCCTCATGACATGAGAGGCGCTCAAATGCCCCCGTGTCCTTCTATTTTTTTTTTAAACTGTGATTTGGGTGAAAGTTTACAGAGCAAGATCACTTTTTATACAGCAGTTCACATACACTTTGTCTTACGACATTGACTACAATTTACCCAATGCAACAGCTCCCCCCAACTTCCTCCCAATAGTTACCTCTTCCCTGTGTCTATCCCTCCATGCACTCCTGCCCCCTGAGCTGTCTCCGTGTACATAAACATCCCTTCTTTCTCCTACCCCATGTCCTCCTAAAGAGAGCAGACAGCATGACCCTGACAAGCACATTGGAAAATTCAGGTCCATGGATTCAGCTCCATCCCTCAGGATGAATGTGGAAATATAGGCTTTGTTTTGGTGAGAATGGTTGGCACACTGGGGGCCAGGGACAACAGGGACCTGTAAAGCCTCTCACTTCGAAGCCTGGTCCCACTTAACACTTCAGGAACATCCCCACTGAGAAGCAATGACCCAGGTAGAGTACTGAAAGTAGGATGTCAGAGACAAATATAAAATGTGGAGGCTGCCTGCTGCCGACGTAAAGAATGTCTTGAAATCAGTAACAATGAAGTGGCGGACAGGAGCTCCTGGGTAACGCAAACAGTTAACGTGCATGCTGGTCACCAAAGGGTCGGCGGTTCAAGTCTACCAAGAGGTACCTCGGAAGCCCTGGGGATCTGCTTCCAAAACACCAGCCACTGAGAACCCCCCAAAGCACAGTTCCCCAACACAGAGGCACTGGTGTTACCCAGCAGAAAAAGCAGTCACCGTGTCACCAGCAGCAGCAGTTAACTGTGCAAAAGGGGACAGCAGAAGAAACAGAGCAGCCAACAAACATGGGAAAACACAGCCCCTCCATCCTTGCACAGACACAGAAACACAACGGAAAAGAACAGGACGTACTTAGCGGCAACAGGGAATAGTGAGAAATGGGCATCTTCGTGTTCAGCCTCTATGCTCCCACGGTGCTGTCAGTTTTACAACAGAAAACGTGTCATACTCACAGACGCTGAGTGGTCTCGAAGAAGTAACGACTACCATTCAGGCTGACTGAATGCCACGGACAGTCATCAAAACACAACAGAAGGCCTCTCCCTCTGTGACAAGGATCCTCATGGTTTTCACCTTTCTATTCTCATACTTGGACCCTCAATCATTTAAACTTACTTTGTGGAAGTACACGATGGAAGTCACTTTCCCAGGAAAACTAACTGCCCAGGTATGTGACTGCCCAGAGCTCTGAACTGGTCCATTCCGCATCGAGCCCTGCTGGTAATTTGCCTCTTCCCTCCAGCTAGACTAAACTTGAACCCGTGTTTTAACAAGATCCCTGGGTGTTCACACCTGCTGGGCATGTCTGTTCTCAGAGCTCCTTCCCGGGACTGCGCCATGAGCTCCAGATGGTCTGGCAACTGGCACATGGGAAGTCCTCATGAACCCTACCCACACTGCCAGTCACCACCTGGCAAAGAACGGGCCTTGGGTGCCCACGTACTGACTGCTGCCAGTCACCACCTGACAGACAGTGGGCCACAGGCACACGGATACTGATTGTAGGCACGCTGCAAGTCACCACCTCACAAAGAAAGAGCTGTGGGCGCCAAGCTACTGACCCTAGCCATGCTGCCAGTCACCACCTGATAGACAGGGGGCCACAGACACACAGGTACTGACCACAGCCACACTGCCAGTCACCACCTCACAGACAGCGGGCCACAGCCACACGGGTACTGACCACAGCCACACTGCCAGTCACCACCTCAGAGAGAGCAGGCCATGGGTGCCTGGGTACTGACCGCAGCTGGGGGGCAGCAGGCCGTTGAGGTTGGGGGCCATCGCCCTCTGCAGCTCGTCCAGCTTCTCCCGCAGCTTCCGCACCTGGCTGTCGGAGCGGCTGACCCTCTGCCGCAAGCTCTTCAGCTCCCCATTCTTCTTCTCCACCTGCTCCCGTAGGCAGCACACCTGGCTCTTATTCTGCCGTGATGAGAAGCAGTAGGAGTGCAGCGAGTCGATGAGCCTGCAGGCCCCCGAGGCTGACAGGATGACCTCGTTAATGGACATGGGACTGGCGTCGACCTGCTCGCTCTGCACGGCCTCTGCAGCTGGCTGCGGGGTGACGTCTGCTGGGGAGGCGGAGGGGCTCTGGGAGGGCTTCTGGGGTGTGGCTGTGAGTGACGAGCTTGGGAGGCTGTGGGCCGAGCCCTTGTCAGGCCCCGGGCTGCTGCCGCTTGGCTCCGCGTCCCTCTTCGGCCTCTTCCGCTCGACCTGCTCTCTCGCAGCAGGTGGCCTCTCTCGAGTGTGCCTGGAGGAGAAGCTGTAGGAGTGGAGCGAGCCGATGAACCTGCGCGCCCCGGACGCTGGGGGACTGAAGTCGTCCACGGAGATGCAGCTCTTCTCTGTGACGCCATCGGCAGAGCCTGAGCTCTCGTCGCCAGCGTCCACGGACACTGCTTCTGCTTCCCTTTGGCTGCCCGCCTTTGTGGAGGCGGCACTGTCTTCTGACGTTCTCGCTCGAGATGGCTGCACCTGGGCTGGACCAAGGGTTTCATGGTCAGCTCCGGATGTGGCTGCACCCCGCCCGGCCACCTGCTTCGGCTTCTTGGGCTCCAGCTTGGCCGACAGGCTTGTGTGAGAGGACGGTGAGGCCGGCAAGGCCCCCTGGCTGTCGGCCCCGCCTGGGCGCCCTCTCACGGCCCCCGGGGCCTTGGTGCGCTCTTTCCTACGGGCGCTGCCATGGCCTCCAGGCCCCCTCTTCTCGGCCAGGTGGAAGATGGAGGGCACAGCGGTGGGCTTGAGGAGCCGATGCTGGTCCTCCAGCCTTCGGGAGAAGCTGTCTTTGGTGAAGTGCTCACTGCAGAGAAAGGAGTACTTGGTTGGGGTCCAGTTGTCCCTCTGAACGGCCTTTAACCACTGGAGCAGCCGCTTTGAGTCTTTCAGGGGAAACCTGCAGGAGAGAGGAGGAGCCATCAGGAGAAAATAACCCAAAGCAGACTGACCAGGGGATGCCCAGACCCGTGGGAAAGACACTTCAATGAGGACCTGAGGAACGCTTATTGGGAAGGCAATACTGGGGACAGGAGGCTGAAGGGCCACCGCCCGCCCTTAAGGAGCCGACAGTCTGTGGGAGAGACAAGGGGACAAGGACTGTGGGTAGATGCCCTAGGGGACACAGAGCCCTCCAGGTAGTGACAGGAAGTCGCCCTGCCTTCCAGTGTACTCAGGTGCAAGACTTCCAGTGCTCAAGCTAACGTGGTAAGCCAGACCGAGGTGCTGCCCTCTCCGTAGAGGGGATGGGAGCAGAGATGGGAGTGGCAGGCCACAGAGTGACCCAAAAGCCCAGCCCCTGTTCAGCTCCAGCTGCAGCAGCCGACAACAGTGACACGGAGGCCGTCTCGGAGAGAAGGTGAGTGGGGACAGCCATGCGGTGTTCTGCCATCTCCTCCACAATCGGAGCGAAATGCTCTGCTTGAAGGCCAGCCAGCCCCAGATTCCGGCACACTCAGCAATCGCTTTTCAACAATGTGGGACGGATGGAGGGAGGTCAGGGGGAGCAGTCATCGATCTGGGAGCTGTTACCATCACCTTAACAGCCACCAGAAGGTACTAGGAAACGTATCCTAAGTTCCTTCCTTAATGCCAAGAAAAGACTGTGCTTTGGAAGCCATCTTCCCCAAAAACAAAAACCAAACTCACTGCTGTCACATCATTTTAACTCACAGCAACTCCTCCTTGAGTGTCTGAGGCGGTATCTCTATGGAAGTAGATTACCCAGTCTTCCTTCCAAGGAGTGGCTGGTGGGTTTGAACTGCCAGCCCTCCGATTAGCAGTCAGTATGATACCTTAGGCACTACATCACCAAGGCTCCTTTCCCCAGAACCCCCTATTCCAACATTTGTGTTGTATACAAGGAACCCCGGTGGTGCAGTGGGTAAGCAGTCAGCTTTAACCGAAGATTAGCGGTTGGAGCCGACCAGGTGCCCCATGAGAGAATGATGAGGCAGTCTGCTTTCATAAAGACCACAGGCTTGCAACCCTACAGGGCAGTTTTACCCTGTTCCAGAGGGTGGCTGCTTTGGAAGTGACTCCGTGGCACCAGGCAGCACCCTGGACACAGTTACCACCATTACCAAGGACAAAGCGCACCCTTCTCTGGGGTCTGTGCCTCCCTTAAAACACCAGGGAACACACCGTGCTCTGAAGTAATCTGATACTGTGTGCTCTTCTGATAAATTATAGCAACTTCAGAGGGCCTGTTATTGTTGGCTCTTAGCACCAAGGTAGAAGGCCCAAAAAACTAAGTTCTGAAAACTTGGAGGCAGCTGGGCAGGAGACAAAAGTATCCCCAAGGAGGTTTTCTCCCCGTGCTCCTGGGCCTCAGGTGGCGCAGTTGTTGGCCCATAAAGCAAGCCGGATTGGGGAACACCTGAATGGGCCCCCGAGGGCTCTGGGCCTGGATGGCTCCTAGCCTTGGCCTCAGGCCCCAGGGAGGCCTGACGAGCTTGCAGGCAGGCAGCGAGGATGCTGTGGCCAGCCGCGCGGACTCTCCTTGAGCCCCGGGGGCGTGTCCACGCAGGAAGCGCCTCCGATGGGAGCAGCTCCCCCCCCCCCCGCCCGTGTTGCAAGAAACCCAGACCACCCGCCTAAAGGGGGGGGGCGTTTCGGAACGCGCTGCGTGTGGGCTCCAGGGAGCTCGGCGGGTGGACGGGCCGTGGCGTCGTGGGTGGACTTGCCGCGCGTGGAAGGGGCGTGGGATCGTGGGTGGACCGGCCCCGGGGCCGCGGGAGGACGGTCGGCGGGAGGACAGGCCACGGGTGGACGGCTCGCGCGTGGAAGGGCCGTGGGCACGGGTGGACCGACCCAAGGATCTTGCGTGGAAGGTCCGCGAGTGGACCAACCACGGCGTCGCACGTGAACCTGCCGCGCGTGGAAGGTCCGCGGGTCGCGCGTGGACAGACCCCGAGATCGCGGGTGGAAGGGCCGCGGGTGCACGGGCCGCGGGGTCGCGGGGCGACGCCAGGTCCGCGCGGCCGGGACCCAAGCAGGCCAAGGTCACCCGGAGCCGCCGCCCGCTGACTCACGCCGCCGGCTGCGAGGCCCCGG